TCCATCGACAATTTCAAAAAATGCATACCACGTGCATTTATCCTGGGACATTTTGACATCGGCATCTGACTTAGCTGGTGTCAGTGTCACACTAAGTGCTACAGTCGGAGCTGCCTTTCTCAACTGGATCCCTATTAACAGTCGTTTATGAGATGTGAAGCTAGGTTATACTACATTGCCTTTTCGTCAACTCTACCTATGCGCCGAATGACTGTAGTCCGGATGCGACTGACCATGAGTTCTACTAGCAGCTGAGTGAGCTACTGAAGCACGTGAGTCCAACCGATGCCGTAGTGCTAACTGAAGACTTGAATATACAGGTCAGGCAACTAAGCTCAGACAAAAGTCGTCTGGATGGTCATTGGGGTCTATATGGTTGCAGGTCAGATAAAGGCAACCTTCTTCTACAGCTGTGTGCAGATCATAACCTATTTCTAGCCAGCACAGCTATCTCCGTAATCCTACCTGGAGTCCTCCCTCTGCCATCCAAGCAGATCACATTGCTACCAGCCACCGTTGTTGTGCGTGCACAGAAGACTGCCACTCCTTCTGCAGCACTTTTATGGATTCTGATCATGCTTTAACACGTGTCAATTTCATCTTGCCGTTTGATGGTAATCATAAACACGTTGTCCCCAACAGACTGACTGAGTAGAGTATCATTAGCCCACACATAACAGGTATGGCTCACATCCTAGTACACGAGAAATCTGCTTCATGTAGCTGAGTTGTAATTTTATCAGCCGACCTATATTGTGTCATCATCCTGGAGAGAATCAAACATGCCAACCTGGATGAAAAACTTCGACCGGAAGAGGCTGGATTCAGGAGAAACAAGTCATGTATTGATCAAACCGCCACATTACGGATCATCACTGAACAAAGCTTGGAGTAGCAGCCACCTCTCTATCTCAACTTCATCGACTTTGAAAAGGCCTTCGACAGCGTCGATCAAGAGGTGATTTGGAAACTACTTCGCTACTACGGGGTGCCACCGACAATTATACATCTCATCCAACAGCTGTACGACAATGCTGCATGCCAAGTAATCCACAACGGGAAACTTACGGAATCCTTCGAAGTGAGGACAGGAGTAAGACAACGCTGCCTACTATCACCAATGATTTTCGTGATTGCAGTAGATTGGATAATGCGACAAACAGCGGGGCAATGAGGAAACAGGCATTTAATGGACTCATACAAAAACCTGGAGGACCTGGACTTCGCCGATGATATATGTCTGGTTTCCCACAAACTGGAAGATATGCAAGCGAAAAGCAACAAGTTCACAGAAGAAGCATCAAAGATAGGACTCCAAGTAAACACAGAGAAAACAGAGGTGATGAAGATTCCTGGGTAACACCACCAACAGCAACAACAACAACAGACAGCGATCAGCATAAACGGGAGGAACCTGAAAGAAACAACCTCCTCTACTATCTACCCACCTGGGAAGCATCGTTTCAACTACAGGCGGACAGAAGTGACGAGGATATCAAAGCAAGACAAGCTTTCACTACTCTCAAGTCTGTGTGGAGGTCAACAGCACTCAGCATGAAAAGAAAATACAATCCTCAAATGTCAAGTCAGTGCTACTATACGGATCAGAGACTTGCACTGCGCGTCATAAAGACCATCTCAAACAAACTACAGACCTTCATTAACAGTTGTCTTCGCTCAATACTCAAGATCAGACGGCCGGCCAGAAAAGATCAGCAACAGGGATCTCTGGGAGCGAACCAACCAGGAACCAATTGTGAAACAAGTAGGCAAGAAGAAATGGAGATGGATTGGGCATACTCTGAGGAAACCATCCTCTAGGAATTAAAGGATACAATAAATAATATAACAATAATAATACCTATATTGTGTGTTGATCGATATGTTAGACGGATTAACTATTGTCCATGTTTGTCCAAGTTTGTATAACCTATATAAAATGTCTTCAAATTTAGCAGTAATTCTTATTCATCAAATAGAAACAAAATCAAGTGAGATTTGAAAATTTACTAAACGAAAATCTCAAATACTTATAATAATACGGAACTTCTCTAACAACACTAAGTATCAATAGAAGCAACGGTTATGAATTGAACTGGACTGAACTTTCAAAGCAGAAATTTTCAGTAAAGCACAGTAGCTCAAAGTGTCATACTTCTTCACATACCACACAGAAAGGTAGAGAAAAAGAAGAATAAACAGAACTATGTAGGAGATAGAACATTTCCATGGAGAATAATCCAGAATGGATGAATCAGAGCATTAGCGAGCGGTTTTGACCAATATCACCAACAGTTCTCATCTCCAGTAACTGTTAATTCCAGCTTAAGATGTAAAAGACAGTTAAAAGAAGCCGTCGATTCTCATGACAGTTGTAAGATTGATGACAATGATATAAATTAAGTATCTTGGACTTATTCTCTCTTCTGATCTCTCCTGGTCTTCCCATGTCTTAGCGATCTCCAGTAAAATATTCCGCCTGACATTTTACATTAAGAAGTTAAGGCACTCGGGTATAACTCAACCCCTCCTCTTACAGTTCATAAACTCTTGCATCCTACCTATTCTTCTTTATTGTTCACCCTTATTCTTTCCTGGTTTGCTTAAAAAGGACTATGTCACAATTCGTAGAATGCTGAAGACTGTCAGTCAGTAGGGTGAGTGGTGTCCCAGTGGACCACATAGTTAACGTCGTTGTCGATAGGCACTTAACTTCGTGCAGTAAATTTGCTAAAGGGATTTTGTCTGACTTGGAGCATCCACTTTACCCTCAGCTTTCACCTTGCATCTCCTCAGGTAGAACAAGAAGTAACTTCAGAAAACTGTATGCTCGCACGTCTAAGTATAAAAATTCTATGATACCATACTTGGCACGTATTTTATGTGATGAAAATAGCGTCAGACAAGAATTAACTAACCTTTTTTCATCTAGTAAATAAACAATCTCCTCCATCCATCCTTATATACCTTCAAGTTTTACTTTTATTATTTCTATTATATTTATGGTCCTGTTGCTTCTTTGTTTTACTTTCATAACTGCAAACACCAATTTATCTCTATGACTGCATTAGTCTTCGTTTTTCCCCTCACCATATCATGTAAAGAGAACATTATATTCAATATTTTTAAACGTGCTAGGATTTCTATACCGCATCGACAATACTGTGTGAAACAAGCCCACGGCAATTTTCACTTGTATTATTATTATTATTACCTTAGCTGTTATCATTATTATTATTTCCATTTTATATGCTGCATGTTTTTGACATTACCCCTATTGTAAATGTAGAAAAATTTTCTGTGTGATTAATTTTATTTATAATTTGAGGAAATTAGATGCAATATTGTGATTAATGCTGAAAATTCCATTCTGTATCACAAGTACTGTTTTTGGAATAAAGTAAATTATTATTATTATTATTATTATACTCAAGTCATTTATACAAATGACTTCTAATGAAGTTTCATTATTCGGTCTTGAAACAATTTAGACCATAAAGAAATAACATGGCACTTATGCTTACATGAAGCACCAGTCATATAAGGCTTCTGGCCATAATGATATATTGAAAATGTATACGTGTAAAAAATCCTCTGACTTTAATATCTCTCATTAGATAATGCTTGTCTCAATTTCAGATTTCCCTATTCCTATAGACTATTTTTAAGTTCATTCCCATTTGTTCCCAATCTTAAGCGTTTCTAAGTTAGCCCACCAGCTGACATCAGTTCGAGAAACAATGAATGGCTTGTGATACAAGTTGGAACCAAAAATAAACCCAGCAAAGCCACACTTGAAAACTAAGCGTTTTTTGTTGTAGTATTCACTGTTTCAAGTTTGACCAAGAAGTGAATTTAATTGGAGAACCACTGAAAACCACGGAGTACTACTAGACAGCCGTTTCACCCTTGTTTTTAGACTCTTAAACAGTGAGCACCCATGAATCTACGAATCTAGGACCTTCAGGTTACCCCAGACAAGCTTGTCGACTGTTCAGCCAATGGGATGGAATCCAATAACTCGTCAGCTGTGCCTTCTGTCTAGACGCGATAATTTATATGGCGATCGCTAGACAATGGCATCGGTGATTAGTTGTCCTCTTACTCGAATTGGTAGGCCAGGCCCCAATACTAGTCATGATTTCTCACTGGAACTTTATCCTTTAGTCACTCACAGTTGAGCACTGCACACCGATACTTGAATATCAACCGTTTATAAGCATACACAGAAGAATAGGTTTCTATTGTGAAATTGTTAGCGAAATTGATGAGTAGTGAAAATATTGGAGAGAAGAATAGGGAATACGGAAAAACAATTAAGGAGAGAAAGATAAACGGAGCGAGACATCATTAAGAAGACGAACATAAACACTACACTGCCTACAACATACTCAATGACCAGTTCAACACACCCATTCTAATCTTCAGACAATACCAACTATCACATTCCACATCTTATCATTAACCAAATTCTAATAGTCTAATTTTACGTGTGACTACTCGTAAGAGTCGACCAAAACCGATGATTAGGTAAACGTGATTCTTTTCGACATATAAGTAAAAACTAGCATAGATATTTCAGTATGACAAAGTCTGTCTGTAACTTAAACTTCATGTGCTAGCTCACAGACAACAACTACTTGATAACGCAGTCAGTTGGTACAGATTCAAGTAAAGTGACCCCCAATAAGTGTGTTAGTCGAACGAAATCCTCAAACTGTTGTACTTAAGTTTTACGATCCACGGTGCTTTCGCTTTAGAGCAGACGAAATTTAAGTGACGTGTGAAACGATTACAATTTCTTGTCAACTACTGCTCATTCATACCTATGACCTTAGCTTGCCTTATTCTCTCTCTGTTCGCCCTTTTATCCACCATCTCTCTCTCTTTCCATATTTCAATCAGTTTTCACTTGATAAAAACAATTTTAGAGGATGTAACGCATTGTAGACCACCACCACTGCTACTGTGCTTACATATTAAAGAATAACAAAAATAAATAATTTAGGAACCGTGCATTTGTTAAATCACTAGACATTTCATTAAATTACATTATGAGAATATAATGTTGGCCAATAATGAATTTATTTACACGCTAGGTTATCGTACACATGCATGAGCATAAATCTGTAGTAGGTATGTAAGTATATGTGTGTATATAAATATGTACATGGTAAGATTAAAATAATCATTAGTCCAATTGTCAATGAGGTCGTAAGCTGAGAGAGGATATATCACCTTTTAAAACAGCTTTCAATGCAGCTAATGGATCTGCACTGATTGCGGGATTACATGAAATCGGTTCAGGTTTTATCATGACTGGGGAATTATCAAATTCACATTCCGGTTCCGATTTCACCGGAGTTTCTGTATTGGACTGTGATGGAGACGGACATGGAGAAAGACCAGGAATAACGACTGTATTTGTTGTAAAATCATCACAAGTAAATGCATTTTCATCGCCTGGATCTTCTTTATTATTTTCTGAAGGCGAATTTGTATCATCTGCAGTATTATCAGAGGGATTAGGTGATTCGAATTTCTTTTCCTGAAATAAAGATAGATATAAAAACAAACATTATTTATGTAACAAAACAGCTGTTAACAGCTGAATTTCTAACTACAGTTAATGAGATAAAAACCCATTACCTAGTTACATTTCAAAATTCATTACAATGCTACAGATTCTTCCCTGTAAATCCCCACAGAATAAACCAAGTAGAAAATTACTACTCACAGATGCAATCTAACTGTTTAATGTGGGACTATTTATGAATGCAGGAAGAAGAGCATTACTTTAGAGCCTTTCTGTCAGAACTCTTGTTCGGAGATCGACAGACTTGTTCTTGATTGACTGCTTACGTGAAGTCGTACTTCTTTAACCACAGGTGTATGCGTTCTATTTCCCGAGCTAATCGGTATAATATGGTGAGTTGTATCGAGGTTAGGCATAGTGCTGAGTAAAGAAGAGATGATAATCGATGAGGTTGTGAAGCTACATCGATTGAGGTGACTTGGACACATGTTATGCATGCTTAGTCACTCACCCGCCTAGTCATGTAACCTCAAGTGACACAGAATTAGGGTGAAAAACAGTTAAGGATGGTCAAACCGAATCAATCAATGAAATCTAAGACTGCTGGTCTGAACCACGAAATGAGGCCCTGACTGCCTATGTTAGCTGACATAGGATCAGGTTGGAAAAGAACTAGTGGTGGTCAAACCAAAACATGGCGTTAGTTAATGAAATCTACAACAGTTAGTTTAAGCCAGTCAACCATCCACGAAGAGAGGCGTGGACTGCTGTCTGGTTGGGGTCTTCGGGATGGTAAGAACCGAGTGGTTGGAGACAATTGGTGATAAGGCTCAAAATCATTCTCAATGGCGCAGATGCATTCACACTTTGTGATTGATAATGTCTAATAAAATTCTATTGTTCTTCCATATTTCTATTCTTTTTGCCCCATATTTCTGTTTATCTCTCTTCACACTCTTCTCTTGCTCTGTGTGCTACATGAAGTGTGGCAATGCGAACTGGTGCACACCTGGGGAAAATTCTACGTTGAAACCAGTCAGTCAGTCAGTCTTCAGAAAAGCTCAGAAAAAATAGCTGGAGAATTTTGGTAATACAGCTCAAAATTGTTCTTAACAGTGCAGATGCATTCACTCTTTGTGATAGCCCATATCTATTAAACCCGCATGTTTTCCCTGTTACTTTTTTTTCTCGCATACACCTGTGCTTATTATAATTCTATTGAATCTCTTTCTCCTCTCTTTTCTGTACCTTTGTGTGCTACATGGTGTGACAACTTGAACTACTCTACTTTGCATTATTGTGCAATCTTCCAGGTTCTGGCTCCGCTCCACCTACCCAGATTTAAGCAGTCAGGTAGTATCACTAACTCTTGCACAATGTGTGGCTCATTGCGAACCCTAAACGGAATCGCAAACATAGTCAAGTCATTCAAACACACGTCTGAACTGGGATAAAGTAACTACAGTAAATTTGAACAGCCTAGTAGCATGTACTCTACCGTCGACTTAATATATGTGTAAAACTTGGGCACTGTGGTAGTAAGTAATTCCATAATAGTTTGTTTATTATATGTATCACACAGTGAAACAGTGTTATTTACTGGATGATTTTCCGAACAAAATTTATTGTTCATAATCATTTCATTAATTATAATCACACGACTTCGAAACTTGAGTTTTATAGTTGTCTTTGTTCTCTCCTATTTGTCGTAGGAGTAGTAGGATTTTCCAGATCTCCGACTGGACAGGTGCTGAGTCATTCCTATTACACGTGTTTGCAGTTAATTCGATAAACAAAGCTTCTGTTATCAATCTCTACCTCTATCCTGTCACATTAGATTTCCAGGCTGTCATCTTACCCCATCCTATTGTATGGTTGTGCGTGAATGCATGCAGTGTTCATAGCTGAACTATTTTCTAGATTTCTTATATTATTCGGGTCAACCAATCTAGATTTTGCTAGGCTTTTATGCTCGGCTAGTCTGACTGCCTCTGTTCCACTACTCTGACCTATGTATTTGACCTGATAATCATTGCAGGCAGGGTATTAGATAAACTAAATTGTTTTGTTTTAAAGGCTTCACAGGATTGATCCTTCAACCAACAAAGCTTGTTTCTAGTTGAGTTTGTGGGTTTGAATGCCAGTCACTTTTATTCCTGCCTTGTTAGGAATTCTGCGTAAGGTTTCCGAGGTTCCTTCCTTGTATGGAATTACTACTGATGATTTAGATTCCTTATTGTTGGTGTTGTCATTGTCTTGCGCATGTTTGACATGCATGTCGTCATTAATATTATTATTATTATTTTCAGTATCATCACTATCATTAATTATTTTATTTTTACAAATCCCACATACTTTCTGACAAATTTATCCGGGTAATTATTCAGTTTCAAAGCTTCTCTTATTTGCCTTACTTCCTGTCCCAGATTTTCCTTGGTACTACTTAGCTTTGGTGCTCTGTCATTTAAACATTTTACCAAGCCTATTTTTACTGACATAGGATGGGATGATCGGAAGTCCAAATATCTGTTTGAATGTGTGGGTTTCCTGTAAACACTAGTGTTTAACTTCCCATCTTCTTTCTTTTTTACCTTGCAATCTAACATTGGGAGCTCCCCTTCCTGATTTTCCAATTCATAAGTGAATTGAATTGCTTCAACCTTTGAGTTAATATGTTCGAAAAATCCATCTATATCCTGTGTTCTAAATAGAGTGAAGGTGTCATCTACATACCTCCACCACCGAAAGGAGCTTGTGAAGCCGTTTTGGACACTGGAAACCGTGGGAACGCAGCTCCACTGCTCTATTGTGAATGAGATTTCAAGTCAAAGTCTGGAAGAGACTTTACTAAAGACAACCACCTCCTGCTTCGGTGTGGGCGCCCGTGGCAATAACCCAGACCTCAAACAAACTATGACTTTATGTTTGGGCATCTCACGGTGTCCATAATGTACCAAGTTTGTGCTTTTAATAACCATAATAATAATAATAATAAAGAGAATATTCTAGTAAACGCTAAATGACAAACAATCATCGAATTAGTTTTAACTTACCTCTTTAACTAGGAATTCTTTTCCTGCATCTTCTTGACAAATAGGATGATAAACCTTATCATCTACTCGAATAGCATCTTGGAGCATCCATTCTTCTTCTTCGTGATCCCAAACTACTTCAAAGCTCTCGTAGCATACAGCACACACCTTGAGTTACAAAAAGATATTAGTTGAACTGTTAAAATCAAAAACTCAATGATTGGAGAGTACTGCTTGACTTCTTTTAAGAAACTCCGGTCAGACCAACTTATTATTATTCTTTACTAGTGGAATATATGGCACATCGCTAACATACTATATTCTATAAGGTCATTTTCACCTGGCTACACAACAGCCTACAAGCTTTTACTTTCCCTAGACATCATCTCCATGACGTCTACCTCAGGTGCTCAAATCGTCGCTTCCCAATTCGGATTCTACCCAAGGACCTAGTGTGTGATACAACTCTGAAGTAAGTTACCTCAGAGTATGCCCAATACATTTTCATTTTTTTGCATAAGTGCTGGGCTACAGGTTCTCCACTATTTCGTTGTACTGCCAGACTTTCCTGCTGGTTACTTAATCCCTTTCTCATCTTCAGTATCGAGCCAGCGTAGGCATCTATTAACGAAAGTCTGTAACCTGATGGAAATGCAATGCACCAGGTTTCTGAACCAAACACAGAAGCACTAATTTGATTCCCAATTTACCACTTTGGCCAAATGTTGTGTTTAAGTTTACCTTCTCTACATTGGTGAAAAGAATATGTTTTACCTAAGATACGTTTCTTCCAATTTCATCATATTCTACTGCGGAATTGCCCATAACAGCGTTCAGTCAATTACTACTGAAAGTCGCTTTAGCTTCGTCTCACTGTGTGACACTGAAATAGGCTATGTGTAGAAAAAATCCTTCACTCCTTATCGTAACTGTTTGGAGTAATACGAATCCCTAGGAACAATAACAGTACTAACACACAAACTAGTGGTAGATAATGAAAATGTCAAGATGAAAAAAAAGAAAACGGCAGATGTTAACCTCTTCTACAAATGAGGCTATGTAAAATACTACAGGTATTAAAATGATCACAAAACATATGATCTTACAAATAACTCGTCACTGCTGGTAAAATCTATGCATTACATTCAAAGACGTTTACCTCAGTCAGAAGACGATAGGATCTTTCTGTTAACTTTTTACGAATTACCCTCTAGAAGTTATACGCAACGGAACTAGATTACGACAAACTCACAATTCACATATCACGTTCTAGCTCGATTAATAACCTCTGCTCTGACACAGTTATCACATCGTAATCAACCAACGAACTATGGTGGTTGTGACGAATGTTACTGATGGTCCCACCATACCAGGAAAATTGGTTGACTGTAACGGTTAAGCTCAGAGCAGTTACGACTACAGGTTAAGCCGCTACCTCTATGTTGAGAGTCTACATACTTCTACAAGTAAACAAAGTCCTGCTCACCGAACACCTTGCTTTGCTTCTTCAAATCTTATTTTTCCACCAAAGATTTCAGTCATGAAAACAGCGTTCTTAGTCACTTCAAACCACGCTGTTACATGGTTTAAGAGGTCTCACCGCTCAAAACGGACATCTCAGACCCCATGTGTATGTTGTAATTCTGACGCACAAAATGCAAACTTGGCTACTGAATGAAACCTACCCGACCAGCAAGGTGTATCTACAAAATTAAACCTGCAATATATCAGATTCTTGTCAACTTTCTGGTGTAAGGGTAGCATTAAAGTCTAGTGAAGAAAGCTCATTACAACCTAATAGTCATCTCTGCGTTGTCCCGTCTAATGAACCTTTGAGGATACGGCAGCTCCTTCATAATATCTGTGTAATTGTCCACTGACTGCAGTCCGGATTAAGCAAAGGATGGGTCCTAATCTAAACATTTACCCAAGCATAACACCAATACCCATCCTGAGGAAGCTTGGTACTATATCAAAGTTTCTGTAGAAACAATAGTTAAGAGTGTTGATTAATCTCAGTTGATGATTGCTAAATGTCGACAAACTTCCATGGCTCTATACATACTAACGAAGCAAGGAGACCTATCACAGACGAATGCATTAGCTGCCTGATAATCTTCGCAACATCGGCATGAAGTGGTGGTTGGTAGGACCGAAAAATCGTCGAAAGTCGGTCAAACAGTAGGGTAGAAAATTTATACGAGAGGTCCAAAGAGCTTAAAGCTACTCACGATCAAATCTCGGGCTAAAAGTTACATAGACATCTGTTCTACGGCTGCAGCGAAGCCTGCAAGAGTCGTCTCTGTTCTCAAACAAGAAAAGATCCCAAGACCTAATGGCGGTAAACTATGATTGAGTAGATTAAAAAAGTACCGGGTAACGTAACAGAATCCAAGCTAGTTCTATTACAGAAACACACATTGCTACTTACCTCACGTTATAAGAAAAAGAATCCTCCTGGCGATATGCAGGCAGATATCAGACTGATTAATATGGTATGTAAGACTTAAAGCTCCCAATGCATACGAAAAGCAGGCAGAACACGGAAGAAACACGCCCAGTTTCTAGGATCTGATCAACTCTTCACCATTACATAGGTCAAAGAACACAAGTACTTTCACCGCCTTTCTACACTTGAAGACAGTATTATACTCTCTCAATCGACAAGTTGGTACAATATTTGGATTTAAAGCGATTGCCAAGAAAGTGCATTGGGGTACTCTACCTCAACTTGTGCAAAGCTGACTGTTACCTAAAGTAACGACAACCGACAACCTCAATAGGAGATACACTCATTTAGTTTCATTCTGGATGCACCGGTGAATGTGACCTTTGCAAAATTAGATTTTCTAGGATTTGACATGCTACCAGGTAAAACGCAGAATAAGATCCTTTTGGAAAGAGACGCTAACATCTTGATCGATACGCTAACTATAATTCATAGGTGCTGCGCCATTTTCTAACGGAAGATGAAGTTGCAGGACTGACCCTCACCGATTTCCAGTGAAAATTCTCACACATCAATCATTACAGATTTTTAAGCAGTGTACGGATACATACCTTCGCTTTGTTGGCAAGTACTATTAGGAACAGCTTGTTTATGTAGACAGTTTTCAATTCTTTATCAGGATCCAGTTAGCTTAGGAAGTTTCTCTTTGGTAATAGTGACATCCTGTTAGTCAGATGTTTCTCAACTATTACACTCAGAACACTGGCTATACCTTACGAAGGAAACCCTCCTTAACCGAATTCTGGCTAACAACATAAAGTCAGTCTGTGCGAGATAAATCTGTTTGCACTTCACAGCTCCCTAACTAAGTTGATGGCTGAACAATAGTATAAATGAAACTACTGATACCAAAATGAGTTTCAGCAGTATGGCTGTGACCATTCGCACACCTGATTCCAGCAATAAGCCGTAAAAACTTCAGTCGGAAAAGCACTTGCATTAAAGCATCTTTCCTGGGTGAATTTAAGTAGTAGTAGCAGTAGTAGGTGATAATACGCTTCAAGTTTACTGCTTACTACTGGCAAATATCAATAAATTTCTCGAACAATTTGAAAGACCGAACGATAAAAGTCTTAAATGTGGCTTATCAGACTTCCATTACCACAGTTTGCAGAAGAATGTTGATCAACAACGAGGCTACTAGTTTATATCAACTAACAAATGAGCTCCATTCCACAGTTGGACGGGAAATGTCAGTGTGTGAGCTTCCCAAGCACTAATCAACCGTTGATCTGAATAAGAATATGTAGATATCGTGAAAGGTATTCCTTCCAAAAATGTTCTTAAAATTAACTGTTCGCTCAAAACGTCCTAGACTCTATCTTGTACTTTTCTTTACTTGCGAGAAATAGCGGTCTAGACAAGAGTGCACATAAGTGTGTTTAACAGACATCCTTATTGATGATTAGTAATATATCGTCGGAGTGGCTTAATCATACCAAACTTTATTCTCCACTGCAAACAACGTCTCGTAACCTCTCAGAGTACGAAGGAATTGTATCATAACAGAATTCACTAATACGGCACATTAACAAGTTTAAGGCAACCTAGCCCAAACAAAACTTTGAATGTCCAACAACAACGATACTCAGAACTTGAAGCAGGCTGTTGACACAATGATGTTGCTTTTAAACACACCGGCTACTCAACAAAAGCTTAAATTCACCTACAGATCTATAAACGGTATGGATAACTCAAGGACAGACGTAAACCAGAGGAATATGCCATAAACCAATAACCTTCCTAGTCTCCATGGGGAAAAGTTACTTAGTTTTCAGAGAGGAAAATACTAGTGCTTATTTCTCCTAGTTTTGTACGGATGATAAGAACGACAAGAACCACCTGATCTCGTTCTTATCACCATTCCAATAATAGAACTAGTCCTACCGGTACGTTTTGTTACTGATATTTCGAATACTCAGAGCTGCAGTCGTGAAAAATATAACGCTCGCCGAATGGAATATTCTTTCCGAAATTGAAAGTTCATGCCCTCTGAAATATCTTCTAAGGCCGATTAACACTATCAGAACCCAGACAAGAGACGTGTTTTTATCAACAAAAGACTAGAAATGCGAAAACTTGGGAGCTATAATTTTGAAAAAAAAATGTACAAACAGAACCACAGACAAGCCAGTGGGACAGAAAATATACCATGAATCATGACACTGTGAGCAATATGCTCAGACAACTTTCCTTAGTACCCATTGATCGTGGTTGGGTCTGCCTTGGGACTTCATATCAGTCAGTATTTTCAAAGCTGATAAACACTCCGTTGACTTATTTTATCCCACATCACGATTTCCTGTGGTATACGTCTTCTAACAAAATTTCTGAGAACATTAAAACACCATCTGAAAACTTGTCGTAATCTGCAGACAGGCTTCTGTCATGCCACTTTATGTGGAGGCGTATTACGAATAAACATCAAAAGCTACCAACATTTAAAACAAAGCGACACGTGCGTGCAATACAAGCCATCGAAAGTGCTTTTCAGTCCTTAAGAAAGGCCTGATGAGTACTGATTGACGATGTCAGTATGAAACAGAACTCAACAAGCATGAAACATACATGAAATCAACATTATGTAGAAACATGTTTTCTAAGTAACCTTATTTCTTTTACGTTTTATAATTGCTACCTAAGATAGCTTACAACTTGATTGAACATGATTCATTGATCAGCAATATGTCACTGGAACATTAGGTGGTATGATGAAGGCAGTATGACAACGTAAACACCTCAGACATCGGATCAAATTAGGATCTCATGGACTTACGAGTTTCGTAATACAAAAGATGAAGTAACGAGATAGCCAAATCCTAATTAAATGCATGAAAGTCAGCCATAAAAGGAGTGATGAATTCCAATAGTTGGTTCGTTTCTGAGTCTTACTCTTATCAGAGAGGGATAATCTCTAGGCGAATACACAGCCTAAGGCAATTCTGCCGAATTCCTATCAAAATGTCCGACAAAATGTGATAAATAACCGTGAGGGTCTTTTAATGACGCTGTTAGTCGCTATCAGTCAGACGAATCAAAATATAAGTTATTGATTTAGCTGAACCCTTTTCAACTAGTCGAATAACGAAGTTTCATACAGAAGACCATCACGGACGGTAAAAAACTTATGAGGCTGACATTCTGTCCTGCATTTCCCCATGGACCAGTCCTCAATATCCAAGTGAAGGCTGTGCCATTTGCGAACTAATCTCCTTTGCGGTGAAAGCTATTCAGGGAGAACATCTAGACATTGTATTCTGTCTAACCTTCCGAATGAATCAAAAGATACTCTAAGGTATGGCAGTTTTAAGGGAATAACACCAGTATGTACATTCAGTGGTTTATTCTACCACTGTTGCTCTTTTCACCAATCTTAGTAGACGAGCCGGCTATGTCTACTTCATCTTCTGTATTGAGGAACTCATGAATTTATGAACTTTTGACCTGACTCAACGATCGAGATAATGACGTTATTATACTGTCTTCACCACTCCTATCACCTCCAGTATCAACCACTATATCACTGGTATTGCTACCGCTGCCAATGCCTGTATAACCCATATTTGTCACTGAACCTCACGCCACTGCTGGTTAAAATCTACGTGAATCGCAAAAATGTCAATCAAGCTATAAGCAACTGAAAATGGTTTAAAACGAGATGTCAGCACAATACAGACGAAACTCTATAACTTGTCGCCATCATAAAACCAAATCTTATTTTAGTTTATGTCTAGTTTCTTTTCCTCAACTTACATTCTGGAGGCGCCCGTCAACTTAAACAGGAAAACTCTTATGTTACTCGCTACTTTCAACAGCCAACTCGAAGCCACTAGTTACTGGAAAAAGTGAACTTAATCATTAGGAATAATACTCAGTAGAAATTTTAAAAAGTTTGAAAATAATGATATAACTTACATTTCTGGAGGGATCTGCGAATGCAGCGCACTTGTACTCTTGCAAATTGTGAATTGGACTTCCAGGTTCAAATTGAGGAGCACCTTCTCGTGTCATGTCTGTGATTAACCAATACTGCAAAGGCTGATAGAAATTACGACTCCGTCTTTCTTGTCCATAAGTTGAATTCTTCACATAGTGATAGTCAAGATGCTTAGCAAATTCTGGTGATAAATCACTCTGGAAACGTAGACCACACTGACCGCACTGGTGACCATTATAAAGTGCATCTATCTCCACACTGTAAGGGTTTTTGAAACGCTCCCAGCTGTAACTTCCTAGTTCAGGAGGTTCTGCCTTCTTAACGGGCTCTGTGCTCTGAACTATGCCAGCTTTCACTAATTTCTGGAACAACTCATGAACGTCAATTGTAGGCTGAGTAGTTGGGTTCGACGAACTTTCGTCCTTGATTGGGGCAGGAATTGTGGTCGTATCAGAACTATCTGCGACAGGTTGTGGAGCGTTCGCACTACTCAATTGGTTACTATTATTATTATTACTCAATTGGTTGTTCGTATTGGCAGTTTCCGCTGTATTCGGTGATCGTCGTGTACCGTTCCCCATAGGTCTGTTGGTAAACTGGGCGCGATTTCTTTGACAGATACCGTTCTCAGCCAAACGTGTAAGTTCTTTAATAGGATTAAGTGGCGCCATAAATAAGTTTTTAGGTGAACCAAACAACCCTTGACCTGCCCATTTGAGCAAGCGAGGAGGGATGGGTGGTAAGACATTAACATTCTTTGGTGCATTCCCAATGAACTTCACTCCAACCGAATGCAGTCCAACATTTATAAAAGTCAAATGCGACGTCGTAGGGACAGTGTGTGGACGTCCATCGATGACAAGTTCATGGCCCGGACCGCCCAAGTATGCCACGTAAGATCTAGGTCCGATGGCTACTCTAGTGAAGCCTGTTCCAGGGATATTGAAACACCGACCATCGATGACAACTGTAGCAAATTCACACCGAAACCTTACAGCGTGGATGCGTTCTCCAATTGCTATTAGCGGTTGTACCCTGTCCAATAAGAGTGTGAACTGCTGTCCATCAATAGTTATTCGTCTGGGTGGCTTGGGGTGACTAACAAGACTGAGCATGCGGGGATCAACACCAATATTCACCATGTCCGGGAAACCATTGATCTCAACACTCCATACAGGACCTCGAATTGGAGGACCACGGTGATGTGGTATTACAGGTTGGAATGACGACGGAGTCATAGGTGGTCTGTCTCTGGGAATATCTGACATATACGGATCTATTGGCACTCGCGGTGGTGGTAGGTGGTCCTTCATGGGAGGGAAATTACCCACCTTAGGGTTGCGCGGTGGGATATTTTCCGAAGCTAAGGGTTCCTCATGTGGTTTAACGTCCGTGTTAGCGTTACTGATGACCTTCCCTGCAGAGAGGTCACTCGGTGGTAGGCAGTCATTTGGAGGTTTATCAAATCTAGGGACGGGCGGGAGCATCGGAGCAGGCTCAATAGGCTGTCTGGAAACTGGTGGGTCTATCGGTAATTTCGATAGTCTACCAGCATCTGCGTCAATTGTAGTGGTACTAAGTGGGGGTTCTGTAAGTGCGAATCTCATATCAACATCTTTTGTATCACGCCGTGAACAAACTTCGCTATGTTTGCCAATGTAATCCGACCAAGCTGATGATTTTGCAGGAGAGGGTGAAAGCATATTCTGAGAACGCATATCACGGTCCTCACCGCCAAATAACATAACCTTTTTTGGTAACTCACTGGATGCTGCCTGTTTCCCTTGTTTTCGAGCGATAGACTCCATTTTCTGATCACCAGAACGATCAATGAGGAACTCTTCTGTGCAAACAGTGGATTCTTTAGGAGACGACTTCCTTTTCCTGTTAAGCCGTGGATCACGTGATGCTGAGATGACCGTATTAGGTGCAGGCTGGACTGGCTTCTCTTCAGATTTCACGACTGGGGTTTCAGGTTTGTTTTGGATCTTCGGAACACTGGGAAGTGATCTGAAAGCAGTCTTGGCCTCAGGAGCGGTGGCAAGCAGAGGCCATGCTGGATCGTGTTCACGAACTCGTATATCTAGTTCGTACATTCTAGAGTTAGGAAATATATCCTTCCACGTTGTCCGCAAATTGTATAGCTTCAACCTTCCTTTTTCATCCCGTATCTAAACAAACTGAATTAACGCAAGTAACAGGTGAAACTTACCGACTGAAACGAATGTACAAACGCGTCAACAATGTTAGCAGTGTACAGTTTCCTGTAGGGAATGCCTACATTCTTAACTATAGAGTCGATTACGTACAAGCCAAGTAACTTCAATCCTGCCGGTATCTGTAATGAAAGGTGAACTAAATTCTAGGATCATCTAATTTCTTTGCATGTCTAGAACGGAACCCGAAAATGTCTCACTAGGCTCGGTACACGACTATCAATAAATACACCTCATACGAACGCTAGATTAAGCGCTTAAGCAATTCATTTATCGCTTCGCCCAAACCCAGCACCCATATGTTACAAAAAGGTCAAAACTCACAAGAAATTTTATTAGGTTTATTTTCATCTGTGCTAATATGCACAGGACAAACATCGAATCGGAAACCCAGTAACTCACCACTTGTACATGTTTCAGGGTTAGTTCAACAATGCTCTCAGCAACTCCTGCAGCATCTTTGTGGTCCCGAGCAAAGATAGTGAGGGCGTTTATCCTATATTTATCATTATCCTTGAGACTTTCCAAATCCTTCTTAAATGCTGACAAGAGATCTGCAGTCGTCGACATTGATGAGGCAACACGACTGACCCGGAACAACGAAAACGAAACAGTCGGCGGAGAGCGCGGCCAGTGGTGAAGGCCAAGAGAGTGGTTTAAACAAAAAATCGGAATGTGGACGAGGGGTACTGAAGTTTTTGAACCCTTTTCTGTTCTGGTAAAGTGTGGACGACAATTTGGCTGTATGTTAGGACCATTATAGCTAGTAGTAATCCCAGAGCTAGGTGATGTAGTAATCACTGAATCTTTTTATTTCATAATGCATTCCTAGAGGTCACATACATGGATGGAAGCAGTGTGTACGCCTCCCAACACGACAGAAGGATGCCCCTGACTTAATCCTTTGCCAAACAATGGAGTCAATCACGATAGAGGTGAGAAATAAACTCTAAAACTTTTGTCACACACACTGTACCGCACCCCACCTCTTCAACCAACAACCGAACACATAAAAATTCCCCAGTTTACTACTAATATAATGACTATAGAAATACCGATTGGTAATTCATACCAGTGCTCTTTAGAAGCTCTGACTAGGAGGGATACTTAACCAGTAATAACTTAGGAGTAATACTTAATATCTTCTGCAAACAATCGGTTCAGTAGGAGGCACGATAGCGCCCCTGAAATGTGCTAAGGACACCAACTCTACTCACAGACAGCAAAACGCAATTAAAACTAAGGAAACTAAAGGGGGGACATTATGAGTTTAAAGAATTTAATGCATTACACCGGATACATAAAACTTCTAAAAATCTTCAAGAGAAACACAAAGTGAAGGCACAACGCAAGTAAAATAAAGCACCTGTGGGCGCTTTCAAAACTCAGCAACTCTGCAGGATTTTGCAGAAACGCCTAAAAACATCTAATACCACAACGTTTGCCACTCGGAACATGAAGCAGTAACTCCTGATAATCCTCAGATTAATTTAATTTTTTGATTATGGCTTGAAACCATGCGGTATTTCTGGTTCAGGTATGGAATTTTCAGCATGTGATATCGATAGCCCAAATTTCGCAGGCCGACCATTGATATCGGGTGTGCGTTGGCCGGAGATCGAACCCCGGACCATGTGCATGGTCGGCGATCGTCCTGACCGACACGCAGTTAAGTCGGCCGCCAATGATTTCTCCATGGCACCAAAACGCAGCCGTCCCCAATTCTCGATATTACCTCAAAGAATAGATGCAAGATAGGTGGCATCAATTTAATAAATAAAAAACAGGCTCAGCGGTTAAGGCATTAGAAGATAACGGTAGCTGTAGAACAGATAATATAATCATAATTAATATTTTGTACAAACGAGAAAGGTTACAAAAACTGCATGTTAGGCACTATCAATTATACTGTAAATTACAATCCTGAAGTCTCATAAATTAATGCTCCTTCAAAAGTTTAAATTGTTCAATCATTGTACAAGAAATCGGATCAGGCTATTATAAATGCTAAATTGTAAACCCTTCACCATCAAAGTTGAGCGACAACCCAAAGTTCATTCCGTTTCCTGCTGATAGTTATGGTCAACCAGTGAACAGTGTATATCTGGGTGAGTGCTGTGCCGCCACGTGATTGGACGCTATTTCCTGAGGAGAAAAACCTCCCGGGCAGCTGCAAAATGGTATCAAATACAATTATGGATAATACATCACTGAAAGTGCATTTACAAGATATAAAGAAGAAGGAACTGGAGACTCCTTGGACTGACAGGATATATTTGCAATGTTTAATGCTAACCACATTGGTCTAAACATGGAAACTATGACATTTTCGATGAAAATGGGGCTTTGTTCAAGCACTAGTGTTGTTGTGTTTTTAATCAAAGCAACCGGACCTTGGGCGAGCGACGAATACGAACAAAAGAGTAAATTTCAGCTTTATAAACGGCCTAGGTAGTTAAAATAAATTAGGGTATTTTTTACTACTTTACGTTCTCAGTGGATCGTAGAAGTTCCAGTAGCACTGGATTTATTTTTGTGGGATGGGGCTGCTAACCTTTGCCAAACCTTCCCTCCTTATCAATCTCATTACCGGTTTGTTGAGGTAAAGGACTGCGTCGCCAGGGATCAACCCCCGAACCACCTGCGTGGTTGACGAGCTTATTAGCTGACCTGTAAGATGCCTCGTGAATTTCTGTAGGGCCCGTAGAGTGACGCCTTGACAAAAAGCTGAATGGGCCTTTAGACATCAGAGGCAAATGCATTTTTAAAAATCTAGAACTGTATGACCCTTACTGCTTTTTTGTTAAGGATCTAGACTCACCTTTAATTTTCAAGCTGTCAGAAAATGCATGTTGCCGTCCTGAAAACTGGGGCGTCTGACATTTGTGACCAGCACCATATCTGCTAACCAGCGTGTGCCGAGCTCCCATCTATCACATTTAGAAACGGCAGCACGCATATAACAGTCATATTACTTCAAATATTTACTCTCTCATTAGAGACTGGAACCTACGCTGAAATGTAGAAAAACATATGTATATATTGCCTGGACATAGAGCAGGGGCCAAAACGGGTACATGAGATTATATGCTTATCAGTATAACACCTGTTATATCATGAATGACGGAGAAAGTAATCAAGGACCAAATGCCAGACTACTTTCTAAAACATAAACTCATCAACTAGTCGCACCACGGATTCCACAAAAATACCATACGTCACTTGCCATGTAGACTATTTCAATGAATTCACCTACAGAAAAGATAGGAGATAACTGATAACAATATATTTATTCCTATTTATGTAGGACTCACTAGCTATGCAGGCATGGATAAGTACTATTAAAATTACATAAATTTGGTTTATGAGGAAATTGCACGGTTGCTGTCCATTTTGTCTTTACTTTGTGGGAACAATCCTCTGACTAGTCATTCACTGGAGCACATCGATAAATATAGAAATATTGTCTTCGCATTGACAAAACACCTAAGTCTGTGTTGGATGGATTACAGATACCTGGGAGATAATAAAGTTTGGAGTCATATAACTGGTGTGTATGGCATCGCATCTTATTCTTGATTTATATCCAAATTGGGTATTGATTTAAAATGAGCTATATATTTGTGAAATTTTGTCAGCATTTTCACCGAAAGTAACACTGGGCAGCTTTGTTTAACCGCGTTGAGGTCAGCCACCATTTGTCTCTACACGGTCGTTTCGTATAAGTTGATTAACATGTTGGCAGCTATTTGTAAGCCGTTTTAGATCATGAATACTGCTTGTTTAGGATGATGTACAGCTTCCTGAGATGGTGACAGTGGATTTTTAAGGATATTGAGTCATTACTAGCCAAAACCTTGAAGGATGATATGCTATATATAAGCAAGTTCCCTCAAGTCCTGTTCAACTTCAGTCTTACTGTAGATCTGTGCAACTTCAACTACAAGGTAAAAAGAAGTGAACAGGCGAGCAGCAAAATACCAGAGAGGAAAGAAAAAGTATGTGGACACGGATGGGGCCTCAATGTTTCTACATATATGACTAGTCTATTTACCTATCTTGGAGTAAGTAGGGAATTTTCGCGGGTATTTTCATTATTTGTATTATAGTGTTTTTTAATATATTCGCACTTTATGTACATGAGGGGCGCCGGTTTAAAGGCATCATCAATATGACAAATAATATATACGTGGCGTAAACATTTTGACACATTTTTACTTACATAGGATGTAAGAAAAGGTAGTGGAATAATGTCAGTAAGCCCAAATTACATGATGTAATTCTAGGCACCATTACTGTTTGGATTTGTCGGAAACGCGCGTAACAACTGAGTGTTGTGTTACATGTAGTCGATATGGCGGGCTATTCACAAGAGTGTAAGAATAGCTTGTAAAACGTTTGTTAGCCTACTGACAACAATGTTTTCGGCAATATCATCTGCAAGAGGCTCACCGCACAGTTAGTATTCACTTAAACATGCAAAGAAGTAATAACGAATCAGAATAATCAGCCACCAGTGAATTTTTTTGATTCATTTTGGTCAGGAACCAGAGTGACTGCGGAACGATAAATGCAAAACGTCGAATGAATCAAGCAGTTTCGCATTAATTCCATGGAATATATGAGCTTATTTCGAATATAACTGTCGGGATTTGTAAGCTCTAATTTTGATTACAGCTAGTGTGTTTCCCTCGGCTCCCCTTTTTGAGAGTGCACTGATTGCGACGTTTGACAGCAGCATACTCTTGGTGGAATCACAAACTGTAGAAAGTGCGCACAGGTACTGGGCGCTAACTACTCGCACAGCCGTAAACACCAGAAACTTTATCACTGCATATGAAACACCCGGGTCAGTAACATTGTGGCTAAGATGCTTGCTTTCATACCTGTCACCTTTCGATAAGCTTCTAAACCACATAGTGTATACCTCTACAAATGTTACTGGACTTTTAGATGACAATGGCTTTAGCAAGACACTGAAGGTTATTTGACAATTGGACACTGTGAAAAATCCACCAGTCGAAAGTTTTAGTTCATTAGAAATGCTCAGATTTGGAACGAACTACCAACGGAAATGCGGCTAGCAAGTACATTGGCTTCTTTTGAATGGATACTCAATGACTCACCAAAGGAATATTCAGGCTAAACTAGTGCAGATTCCCACGTGGGAAACCGAAAAATCATAGGCACTCTTAATGTATGAGCTTGGAGGATATACCGGTTGTTAGTTTTGCCTCTATTTATAATTTCAAATAAAAAGCAGAAGTGGTTTTATTGCATATCGCCATTAATTGTAGCGACAAGGTCCGTTACTACGTTGGTTTAATGACAAGTTATGTTTTTATATGCTTTTTAAATGGAATCACGCGTTTAAAAACTTTTCAGAGTCACATAATAGCGTCAGTTTGATGTACTTGAACTGCGTCACATCTGCTGCACTTGTATCAGGAAATGTCGCGTGATACTGATATCTGAGCTATGTAATGGATTAAATAAGGTGGGAAGTTTAAAATTTGAGCGTATATTTTTGAGTTTCCGAGTAATCATTCTGGTATATTCGGCCTATTTGTTGAAAGGCTATTGTCTAAATTGAGTTGGTTTGTTGGCATTCATCGTAAAACTTTAGCATTTATTTCAGTTTTCACGTACTCAATAGTCTGATTTTCATTTTATGACAAGAAGCCTTAGCACTGTGGGCATGATATGCAGCATTGTTGTGAACTTGTCTTTCAGGTGGCCTATATTTTGAGGGAAG